TGTTTTCATGTTGTATTTTTTGCCATTTTGTTCCTGTTTTACCACAGCAACAACTATATAACCCCTGTTAAACTGAAAAGCACTGCCTTAACATCATCTGTTCTGTCAAAACCAGCTCAAGTGCTTATAAAATTTATATTTATGAGAAAAAACTCATTTATATTTTTTATTGATTGTTATTATTAAAAACTTTATAAGTGGAGAATTTTCTCAGTAAATAGCATTTATGGATATTAAGTGGGATAGAAAGGCAAAATATTCCTTGCACCTTGTATCCAAAGGTCTATAATTTATTTGCAATACTAAACCTTTCAAAGTTGATGGCAAGGTGCTACAGATATGGGTAAATTGAGACATGCAGAGGTCTTTTTCCAAGGTCACAATCTAGGATGTAGAGCTGCTGAGAACAATTTTGAAACTGTAGCCAAAAAAAGAAGAAAAATGCTGTAACAGTTCTTGTACATGACCATTTTTAACAAGCTTTTCTTGGAGTGTGGTACTGAGAACTGCTAATCATCTTGGAATGCGCTTCACTCGCAGTCATTCTTCTGGTACAAAGAGGCCAGGGAGCTTTTTACATCAATGAAACACTATGTTTATCCCATCATCTTTATCTTTAGAAGCAGACATTTTTGCCAAGAGTGTGTTGTCCCAGGCTGATGCTAGACTACTTTTACTTTACATGTATATATGAAGAGGATAAATCTAGTACCTGTCCTGACTTCTCATACCTACATTTTGTTATATTAGATATTTATCAAATTAGAGTAGATTAAAAGACCTTGTATTTAATTACAGGACCTGAAAATCTGATGTAATGGTATATCCTTGGTCATAATCTCAGATCTTCTAAACTAGCCTTGCTGAGAAAGGATGTAGGACCTATGAAATCAAATTCTTTGAACATTAATCCCTAAAGCTCTCAAATTCCCTGACCATTCAGGTGAAGATATTTAGCTCCTTGCATATCTAGACTGAATTCCCCTTCCGCATTATGTCGGTGCTTAGCTTGATTTCTCAAGTCCATTTTTAAAGCAGTTTCAGATGAATATTCATGATGCAACTCAAGGATGTGGTATAAAAAGGGAGTGCATGCTCTGATCCAGCTGGAAATGTCACCCTTAAATCACTTATACTACATTTTTCTTCTTGTTAAAAATAAAGCACATTTTTCTTTTCAATTACATGATGCACTTTCATCAATGACATAGGCTTTAACAATTACTATCATTAAGATTGTTCTCTTTTGATGAAATACACTCAGTTTTCTTTTTCTTTTTTCATTTTTGAATTTGAAAGAGCTGATATCAGTAAATTTTCTCCCCTTTAGCAAAACACCCTCTAGTAGGTAAAGTATGAACATACTGAAACAAAAAATTCAGACAGGCAAGAGAAAATTTACGTGAGAAGATTCTCAGCAGAGTGGAGGTGGGTATTTGTGCACCTTCTAATGGAACATATTATCTGCACTTCTGATTAAATCCTACATAGTCTAAGATAGCCTAAATTCAGTTTGATTTTATAGATCATATGCTAGCTGGCAATACAGTGGAGATCCAAAGTATACATTTCTTCACCAAAACAAAAATAATGGTTATACTGCCCACAAACAGTTTTGATATAGTTTTCACAATGTGCTAACTAACAAGATAATGCTAGTACATCCATATACATATGGATGAGACTGACAAATCAAAGCTGAAAACCTGACTCCATTAAAGTGACAAAACCCCCCTGACTTCAGTGGAGACAGTTTCACTGCAAATGACCATGACCAACTTCCATTCAACTCAGTCGAATGTTACCCACAAAGTCTACCAGCTCCACTGTTAATAGTAAATATTTCACCTCTGATCATTTTTTAGCATTGATGACTCTCCCTACCAAATTTTACCCTTTCTTAGACTTCTAAATGTACACATTAAACATTAAAACAGTGGAGGTCAGAAATCTGTAAAATCCATGGGAGCTGTGATTCATGGCCAGCTGGGTGTATTTGAATATGGTGTATTTGTGCAAACTCACTCCAGGGTAGATGATAGTCAGAACAAGAACAGTGGAAGGCCCATTGGCTATATAAGCCTTGTTCTGGCTCCATGTCCTGGGTGAATGTCACCCTTTGCTGGTTGTGTGGATGGACATCAGTGTGGTGAAAGTGGAGCAGACTGGCTTCTCCATTACCATGGTACGCTTTCTGGGACAGGTATGAAAGAAATCTTTTAGTGGATAGTTCTAAAAGAATGTGCCCATAGGAAAAGTTACTGGTTGGCTTCAGTGTGAGTATGTATATATTTCAAAGTTTTTTCATCATAGTAAAAGTTGCTGTGGATGTTTGTATTATCCATATTGATATTTAGGATGAAAACTCTCTGGAATTTTGCCACTGACTTTGGTGGGGCTGGGATTCTACCCCTCATCCTGTTCTGAAGCTTACTTAACTATTGGCCTCAGAGGTATTTTGTAGTAGTGACTTCCAAAGATTGACTATGCCTGGTGTATCTGGAAAAAAAATCTCTATTCAGATTAGTTTCACTGAAGTTTATATGATGAAATCTTGAGGAAAATTCATGCCCTGTGAATTCAATGTTTCCAAGCACATAATGCATGTTCAGTGGCGGTACCATAGCATATCTGTAGATACTGGTGAGACAACATTGTCTACTGACCTTTGGTGCTAGCTAATCTTTTAGCTGCCACCAAAAAAGATAGCAGTCCCTTCCCATTCACACTATGATTAAAATGTGATGAAAATTCCTACTGCAAATGTTATTATGGTTTGTTTTGAGTGTTCTGAGACAATGTGAACGAAACTGTTTAAAACTAGTAGGTAACTAGATATTGGATACCTCAGTTTTTTGGGTAGTGAACTTGATGCCACTTAATAACTGGTAATGTTTATGCCCTGAGTCAGTGCAAACCTGTTGGGTACTTTCTCCCTCCCCCACCCCATTTCACTGAAGCTGCTGCCATCACCTCTGAGTGCTCTCAATGGCAGCAAATGGACAGTGGGTAAATTGGAGGAAAGAGAAGCAGCTGCAATAGCAGGGCCTGAGAGTTCCCTGTACCCAACTGCAGGTGTTGCCACTGTTGTGCAGACTCCCTAGGGGACCACACTTCCTCTATGTCGGTGACTCTTCAATGCCGGTGACCTGTGCTGGAGCCCTGCTTGTCTACCCCTAGTTATGCTACTGCCTCTTAAAGGGACCCTGATTTTTCAGAGGATTTTGCATATAGAGAAAATGAGATTGCTGCGACATGCCTGATTAGGCACATGAAAACACTACTCACTTAAAAATCTTGGCCACTGTCTTTGTCCTTTTGCTACGTTGTGTGTGAAATGCCATTTGTTAAGACATGACTTTAATTTAAAAGGCCAAGAAATATAAGAATAGGCAGAGAAAATACTCTCAGGGAGTTTGCAGTGTTTCCTTGTTAGTGGATGGGACCCAAACAAAGTGATCATATTGGAATAAAAGGGCACAGTATTTGCCATGCAAATTATATATTAAAAATATAAGAACCTTCACCCAGTGCCAAACAAGTGCTTCTGCAGTTGTGAGTGTTCTTCCTTTTGTAGATCCGCTTTACAATTACCCACTGAGTGAATCACAGAAGTTAGAGATAAAAAAGCCCTATTAGGTCATCTAATCCTTCCCTGCAGTTGTTGCAAAGCTACTGCATGCAGTATAATCTCCAGTTCAGTTTTAAAATACTCCAGTCAATGGGGCTCTTATAATATCCTTTGAGTGATTATTCTACAAGTGTTACAGATCCCACCATATTTCCTGATATTCAGCCTAAATCTTCCCTTGCCTAATTTCATTTCATTGCTTCTAGCTGTAAATCCTGGCAATTTCACCCTCCCCCCCAACCTTGGAACATGCTCCTGCTTCAATTAGAATAAGTGGGGATTTTGCCATAGGTTTCCGTAGAAGCAAGATTGTATTCTCAACATTTAACTATGTTATTATTATTATCCATAGACCCCAGTCCTCCTCTTAAATGGAACAACACTGAATCTCTAGTAATGTTGCTCCAGATGAAATTAAAAATAAATTAAAGGAGTGTGCCTAGCCCAAGATTTGATTTAACTGAGGGAAAAAAAACAATGTTCCCTTTTCCTAACTTGAAGTCAGAGCCTGCTAAAGCTGCATAGTAAAGTCTTGACCCTGTATTATATGCAGAATCAGACTTAGCAAGGTTAAATTGTCTGTTCATTCTAGATGAGTTACTAGAACTCAGCAAGGGCAGCAAAGATCACAAACTTGAATTAGTTTCCTTCCCTCTTCCTCGTGCTTTGCGTTACAATGTACTGTATAGCCTAAATTCCTTTTTTTCTGTTTATTGCTGCTTCACACAGACAGTCTGGCCAGGTAATACCTAATTTAGAAAATAAGAGTTTTCCACTCTGCAAAAAGCCAGTTGGGATCTAGCATTTACCATCTAATTTTTGTTTTGATAATAGGGGAAAGGAGGGAGAGAGGGTGTTCAAAATGATCGCTGTTCTTTTAAACAGAATACAGTGATGCTGCAGTTAAGTCCAGCCTGTACCTCAAATGTAGGTGCTCAGGGGACTGGCAGATGGAGGCAGATGAATCATAACTGTGGCAACCAGTAGAGAAGATGTAAGCCCTTGTTCATGTAAAACTCTATTTAATAATTACTTGCAATTACTACTTACATGATAAACACCATGGGCAGGTCTCACTCATTTCAAAATCTCTTTAATTCAAAATGAATACATTTCCATTGTATCAAGTCCTGATGTGGGTGGTGATTTATCTGGACTTTGTGTTTGATCAAACGTTATTAGTTAATTGCTTTGTCCCTAGTCATAGCCTTCTAAAACCAAGCATAACCAAATAACCAAACTTGGAAATCTACTTTTTATTTGGCATTCATGGCATTTATTATATATACATATTTAAAATCTGTACACGGTAAAATACAAAATAAAAGTGTTTCTTTATAAGTTACACCATTAAACAGCTACATTTTGTTTTAGTTTAAACACCTTTTTAAAAAAAACAAAAGAAGAAAGAAATGTTGTCATTCCATCTTTAAATGCATTCAAAATAGCCTTGGTATAAAATATCCATACAATGTATGTGTACAAAATAGTGTACAGTTCATAAAGCTGTGCAAGGACAGCAAAGTTCAGTCAGAAATCAAAGAGGTGCAGCCACTTTCCTCTTTCCACATAAAAACTAGAACAGAAGCCAAGTGGAAATGTAATCACAGACCTGTGGGCAAAACAGTGGATTAGACAGTAATTCGTATACTATATAATAATGCATAAATTAAATGAAAAGCATGTCAACACACAGCACCCCATTACATATGAGGCACATGGGCACAACACACTCCAAGAATAGTCCCACTGAGTTAATTTCAGCAGGAGAGTTCTTGGAGTATGGTGCTAATCAGTGTGAGTAAAGGGGGTGGGGGACAGTATTTGATCCATGAATGGTTCCCCAGACCTCATTGAGATTACTCACTTATATAAGTAAAGGTTGCAGGATCAGACCAGTTCCCAGTCATTTCTGTAACATAACAGATTGCAGTTCATTTGAAATCTAATGAAAAGGGTCATGGCATGTACCAGGATTTTCTTTAGAAACCACAGTTTCCACTGAATTTTGTAAGTTCCCCCTCATTATAAATCAAAGTGTCCTAATTATTTTGCTCTGGCTTGCTTCAAGAAAATGCCCCTATCAAACAAGTTCGGTTGCTAAGCAAAGATACACATAGAAAGGCTAAGGGATACTGTGAATAGAAGAGCTTCCAAGTAGGACAAACAGGGAAATGCCTATGAGAAGGAAGACTTGTAGCTATTTAATAAATAACCTGCAGTGGAGAACTACGTGGATGTTCAGGAGGGACACCACCTCTTCAATTTTATAGCACTTTTAAATTTACAACTTTGCAATGTCCCCTGTCATGGTGGGGGTAGGCAGGGCATCTAAGAAACTGTGATCTCCTCCTCTTCCTCTTCTCCTTCATCATCCTCTTCCTCTGAGTCTGAGAAGTCTGAAGGTTTGCTGGGGCTGCTGGAGTGGGATGGAGAGGGGGACATATGGGAGTCCAGTCTGTCCCTCAAGTGTATGTGCTCTGGGGACTGGTGGTAGGTCAGGGCATGGTGGGGGCTGGCTGGGCACAGAGGGGACACTTCTTCCTCCTCCTCTCCTGAACATTTCTTGCCCACATCGCTGAGGTCTGGATGAGGGTTGAACTTAGTGGGTAGAGTTTGTTCCCTGCAGCCCCCAGAGGAGAGGAGCTCTCGCTCTTTGGAGTTTCTCCACTTCATTCTTCTGTTCTGGAACCAGATCTTCACCTAGAGGGAAAGCATTTACAAAGGATATGGCTCAGTTTACAAAGAATCCTAGAGGCTGCACACAACTGATTTGCTGTGCCTTGTAGAAGGTGGTCAGCTTGGCCTTCAGCTGACACGGTTTGTATGTGCAATGTACATGGGTTGATCCTGGAAGAATCCTTTCTGGTCTCATTTCTCAGGCCTTCAGGGCAGTGACCTGAGTCCTCCTTGAAGAGTAGAGTGCTGCCAGGCTGTGTAAGACTATGCTTCGGACTCCTCTCCCCTTTGCTTTCTCCTGCTATTGGTGCTTCACTCTTTCCTAAAAGCTACAGCAAACTTTCAGATTTCTCCTGAACAACCTTTCCTGACCCACCTGGCAGCCTTTCTCCTCCTCCTTAGCTGCTACTTCCTCCCAGAGAAGCAGCAAAGGCTACTAAATCCACTCGAGGTCCCAGAAACCCTCAAGATCCACTGGGGTCTGGGAACGCGGAGCACCCTCAGGACCTCAACTGTGAGTTCTTTGTGGAAAGGCCCCTGCCTTGTCTTGTAAAGCATTGAGCACAGGGATGGGATCCTATTGAATACAAGCAGCATGTCTCAATTAGCAAGGCTGATGAGAAAGGGAGCTGGGGAACTCTACTCAGCCAGCTCTGCTATTCATCAACAGTTGCAAATGCAGTGCAGGGAAGGTGCAGAGCAGTTGGCAGGTCTTGGACCCTAACAGGAGACCCATGTGCCCACAAGAGGTCCCTGAAAGACATTTTTCTTGACTGGCTGTATGGTAGAAGGCAGGGTAGATTTGCATCTTATAGACTAACTAAATAAGATAGAGAGCACAAACTTTTGTTAACTGGAATGTTGCAGCTGAGAAATAACCCAGGTCCGCAGGGGATGAATCCTACCCTCCCACCCCCTACACCGCCTGATTTTTGCTTACTTGTGAGTCTTTAAGTCCAAGCTTGGCTGCCAGCTTCTTCCTGTCTGGCTTGCTGATGTATTTCTGCTTCTGAAACATCTTCTCCAGGGCTTTGCGCTGCACGTCTGAGAAGACTGCCCTGCGGAGCATGCCCCGGCGGGGCTTTCCTCTCGCAGCCATGGGCCAGGAGAATGTGCCGGGGATGGGCACCACTGAAGAGGAAGCTGGGAGAGGGAGGAGAGGCAGAAGCAGGCGAGTGAGTCGTGGGCAG